TCAGCTCATGAGATATGAGTTTTTTGTTTGGTTTTGACAAGATTTTGAAAACAGTGCAGCTTTGTCATCATCTTTGCAGTTGTGAAAAATTGTGAGAAATATGGCCAATGCTGCAGCAATTGCATTGGGTGATGGGTTCCAGTGATTTCAAGAATCTTGATGTTGTGGCATAGACTGGGATTATAGTTGCATGTGATTGCTATGTCTCAAAAATCTTGATGCGGTGGCATCACTGTAGCTGCATGTGGTTGCAATAACTCCAAAATCCTTGATGCTGCAGTGTTGGTCACAATTGCAGTGGAGATGTGGCCAAAACTGTATTATTTTTAAAACCTTATATTTTGGTTGTAAAATCAGTTGTTGGTGAAGGGTAATCTTCCTCAAAACTGGTCCTGATTGAGTTTTTCCTATCATGTTTAATTTTTGAAGATGTGTTTTCTGTTTGTGTGTTTGTTTGTCAAGATTTACAACAGTTGGATTTTTCATCTCATGACGCCAGTTTTGAATTGTGGCTGCTGGTGCTGCTTTGTCACCTTCCTTGTTACTGTGAAAAATTGCACACAAATATGTTTTTCTGCTGCCGAAATTGTAATGGTGATGCAATTGTTGTGAATTAAAAATCCTTGATGCTGTGACAGCAGAATACAATAACTCCAAAAACCTTGACACTGCAGTGTCAGCCGCAATTTCAGTCACAATGCGGTTGTAGTGACTCCAAAAGCCATCACACCGAGACTGAAATTGCGGCTTTTTGAAATCTTGTGCTTTGGATTAGCCTTTTGGGAGAAGGGTAATCATCATTTTATCAGGAGGTTTTGTTTGAGGTTTTCCTGTCACAGTTACTTCTGAAGATAAAAAAACACAGTAACCTATTTGAAGGTTTTTCTTTTTGTGTGTGTGAATGAATTTCTTTGTCAAGTTTTGCGAATCAATCCTTCTGGTTAATAGAGGATGTAAGTGGAAAAAGAAGGAAATTTGAAAATGTTGAATGGGGTGCATGTTACTCAGCAGGTGATGACATAATGGCATAATGGCCTTTAATTCTTTGTTTTTTTGCAGACTTGTTTTCAGTGCATCAAGTAATGTGTAAAATTCTCAACTTTTACCAGATTATCAACCAATTTTATTCTTTTTATGGACTTTCAATGAAGGTTCAGTGTCATGAAATTAAAGAAATAAGTATATGTGATGATGGCATGTTTTCTTATTCGGTGGATTTTAGCATAGCAGTATAGGAAAAAAGTATTTGATTGAAATATAAAGCATTTGTTTCCCTTCCCAGGTGTGGTCGCTGGTTAGAAGATTTGATCAACCCCAGAAATATAAACCATTTGTTAGCAGATGTATCATGCAAGGAGACCTTGGCATTGGAAGTGTTAGAGAAGTGAATGTTAAATCTGGCCTTCCAGCCACAACAAGTACTGAGAGGTTGGAACAACTTGATGATGAGGAGCACATTCTTGGCATCAGGATTGTTGGAGGTGACCATAGGCTGAGGGTATGATCCTTTTTTCTTCCTTAATTTATTAGGTTGTTCCTTAATTTCTTTTTCTTTATAGGAATTCTGGAATTTGTTGAGTAATGGAAAATAGTCTGAAAGAATTGTGATTCCAGAGTCTCCTGTTTGTTCTGTGTATTTTATCTGTTTATTCTATAATTTCTAATCCTTTCAGCCTTGCTTTAATCAAAAGAAACATTTCACTATGGTAACTGTGGCCAGTTTTAATCTCAGAGAAGAAAGCAAATGTTACCAAGATGAAATGCGACTATTTGTTTGAGTTTGGATGGTTTGCACTGAGGAACAGCTAAACTATTAAGTTTGTCACTTCATTTCCTCTGGTGTTATGGTGTCAGTATAATAATGATGTTTTGTGGAATTTGCAGAACTATTCTTCCATAATAACAGTGCATCCAGAGGTGATTGAGGGAAGACCTGGAACAATGGTGATTGAATCATTTGTGGTGGATGTGCCTGATGGAAACACTAAGGATGAAACTTGCTACTTTGTGGAGGCTTTGATCAGGTGTAACCTAAGCTCTCTTGCTGATGTCTCAGAGAGGATGGCAGTTCAAGGCCGAACCGATCCCATCAACCATTAAGCATGTCTGGGGGAGAATGAAGTTGGTTCAACGATCCATTGCTCTCTGATCTAGTTCCAGTGTGAACATTGGTTGGAGTATTCCTTCCATGTTCCCAGAAGTTTTGGAAGTTTTTCCTCTGTATCATGGATACAATTCCCCTACCATCTCTCACAAGTTTTGTAAGATGAGATTCTGAGCCTCATATGGGGATGGTTGGGGAAAGTTTTTTACCTGCTCTTTTCTTCCTGGATTTTGTGAATGGTGGTTTGTTACTACAGTTGTCTGTAAATATTTTCGTTGAGACAAAACCAGTTTCTGCACTCTTTCAATTTCATGTTTAGTTGCTACTTTTGCCAGATCTATGTGCTGGTGCAAGAGAATTCCAAATAGTGGATACTTCCTTGTTATTTTCTTCTAAGTAGTGTAGCTTTTTTAAGTTACCTGTTCCACCTTCTCCCTGTTTAGGTCTATGTTTTCACAATCAATCAGGTTCTTTGTGCTCTTCCTCTCTCTCTCTCGGTATCGTGTATCTTTGAGCAATTTCAAACAAAGATGCCGTTTCTTCATGCACTTACTTTGAGGACCTTTTAAGACACTTTTAGTACATGCACCTTGCTTTGAGGAACTTCAAAGAATACTGTTTATTCGTTGCAAGTGCATGCTTTCCAATTCAGCTTAAAATTTGCACTTTATGGGGGAGAGAAAGAAATGCTATTTATAAGAAAAAGGGTTTAAAGTAATAGTTGAAATACCCTGTAAGCAAATAGGACACATAAGAAGTACAAAAGAGTTGAAATATAATTGTGAAGGGTTGAATTTGCAGAGAAATGAAGTTCTGTTGGTACTTTTTTTCTCCTGTGTGTATGTATTGGTGCAATTATTTATGAATGTCACTTTCATCATGAGATAAGATTGCATTAAATATACCCTGTGAAGTTTAACTGAATCACGTTTAGAAGTGTTGTGCCTGAACCTTGACGTTGAGGTAAGACACAAACAATCAATACTCTAGATGTTTTTTGTTGAGTAGGGAAGGTGGTGGAGCTATTCAGGAAGGTATTTTAATGCTCAAGTCACTGTTAATGTTGGTGAAGTAGTAGATTGCATAATTGATGTGGTTTTAGTGGCCAAGGTGAGAGCATGTAGTTGTCAGTTACATAACCAGTTATGGAATATAAGGTGTTGTATTGAACCAAGAGACAAATTCTGCACATTAAAATGTCATAGAAGTAGTTTGCAGAAGCATTAATCCATGGTTAACTGCTATACATACATATCGAGACATCTACATTTTTCATTGATGTCACATCTTGGTTTTCTTTTTCAATAGGGGCAATGTTTCCTTTAATGATTTATCTTTTTTTTCTTAATCTGTTGTTTGTTATATAGTCTTTCTTATGTTATGGTACTTCAACTATTTAATTGAATAAATGTTGATGACTTATTTTCCCCTTTCATTCACTATATATTCCAAACTACAAATATAGAAAAAAGGGTGATGAGGTTTACAAAGATTCCTCAAAGGAAAAAAAAAAGTTTCATAGATAACGAAAAGTGTATCAGTTTGTGAGTTGGTGATTCAGAAGATGGAAACATTTAAACCAGTGGCAGTGTATGATTTGCATTAAGCTTCACAAGCACATGCAACTTTATTAAGAAAAATGTTCTGTCGGTCCATTACCCATCAAGAGTTTATTTTCCCTTTTCTTTTTCTCTCACCTTTTGCATTATATTTATGGCTTCAAATTGAATGACGTAATGGTAAAATTTGTGGATACAAAACTAAATATAAGAAGGAAAGATATATCTTGTGTGTGATGTATATGAATGGTGTTCATTTCCCGCAAAAATATCAAAATGTGTATAATTTTAACTTCCATTAAAATGATTAAATTTTAAAGTCGTGTCAGTTTGATATGACTTCGTTTTAAAGAAATCGTATTAGTTTAGTATGTTCAGTTCGTTGTAATTTTTCTTTAATTTTAATTGAAGTAGTGGTAACTTGATACAATTTCCGTGTATTATGATATAAATTCAAGTTGTCAGCTTAGATGCTATAATATAAAATGATATCGTATAAGATTAATATGACTTGAAAATAAGAATTCAAAATTATACTATTTTGAAGTCAAAATTGTACCATTTTAATGTTTTTGCCATTCATTTCCTTCTACCACCTTTTGCTTTATTTTAAGCGTTAAAATTAAATGGCTTGCTGATAAAGTTTGTGTGATCAAAATGTGTGATCAAGTGTTCATTTCCCTCTTGTCCCACCACGTGTTCATAATTTTAGGAGTTAAAATTGAATGATTTGATGATAAAATTTGTGAATACAAATAAATAAATATTATGTGTATGTATGTGATGTTACGTTGAGTTAACAATTACAGTAATTAAAAATAAAGTCATTTGCATGTTTCACAATGATTAATACATATTCCCCTTTTTTTCCATCTCCTTCTATCTCATTTTCTTCTTATCTTTTTATCTCTTCCTTTTCTTTATCACATATGTCATATTTTATCTCTACTTTTGCTTCTTGTTTTTTCTTATCACCCCACAAGAAATAATATTAAGATCTTTCAAAATATTTTTTTATTATTGACTGAAATTTGTTGAAAATTACATCTGTTTGATTGTACACACAACTCAAACTCGATTCTGCACTCAATTTTCAGTGATTATGCACATCACTTGCTAACATGAGCGACTCTGAATAATTTATGTCATAATCTGCTCTGAAAATTTCCTGCATATATATTATTTACAGGTGCACGCTAATAAAATAGTGTTTCTGACATCGAACTTTGTGTGAAAGATGGAGAAGAGGATGTGAAGTTAAATGATGTAACAACCATAGACAAGATATTCTATGTAATATATGATTTATTTTCTCAAGCTGGATAGCTTGTTGCTTGAATTTGAAAAATATATTTCATAAACAATTTCGACTTTACTTTTTCATATGCTGATGAAGCCAACTGATGCTACCCTTGCAAATGTTGAAACCTGGTAATACAATAATTTGTTGAAGTAAATAAGGCTCCAGAATCAATCAACATACCAGGCGCATGCTGTGTCACTATTCAGTACCTTGCATGCTATTTTTCATCGCATTGCACGTTCTATCCGTTCTTCAAACTCTTTTCATACTGTGGCTTGCAAAAAAGATAAACTATTTCAGGTGAAGAATACAACTTGCATAAAGGGTATTCAGTGATTCCTAAGAAACTTAGTCATTCATTAATTTAGCATAAAGTTCCCTCACGAACACACTCCCTGTGTTGATATGCAAGACCACAATAGCTAGAGAAGAAAATGCTTCATGTTTCTGGTCTTGTATCTTGTTACCAAAGATCATTGCATGAGCATTCTCCATTCATGAAATGGTGGAAACGGCCACCGTCTCTGAGGAAAATCTCGCGGTTCCGAGCCAGAGAAATGTACTTTGCTGCTGTGTGACAGTCTTGACAAATTCTTGTGTTCTTCACTACCCTGATGGGAGATCCATCGCTAGTTTTAATCAATCCATATGTCATTGCCAACTTCTCTGTGTGACTGAGCAGAACCTTTTCCTTCTCCTTCTCATCAATGTTCTGAAGTACACAATGTGTAACAGGTACATATCCCAGCTTTCTTATCTCTGAGACTAACTGATATAACTCAAAATATATTTCTCCTTCTTCTGGATGTGGTTCCCCTTCAGTGGAGAACACATGAATAGTTTGCCTAATTTGTGTCCAACTCCAAACATTTGGAATTTTCATCCCCATGGCAGTCATTGAGTCCTTAAGACGCTCCACGTCCCCCCATCTCTCAAAACTGGAATATATGTTCATCATCAGTACACAGTTAGCAGAGTTATATGGCTCCAACCTCAAAAGATTCCTTGCTGCAATCTCTGCTATCTTAAGGTCTTTGTGAATTCTGCAGGCTGAAAGAAGAGCACCCCAAATACTAGCATCTGCCTTTTGAGGCATGGCGTGGATGAAATCCAAAGCTTCATCAAGAAAGCCAGCTTTTCCAAGAAGATCTACCATGCAAGAATAGTGCTCAATTGTTGGAGTAATATTGTAGTATGTCTTCATGCTGTCAAAGTGCTTCCACCCTTCCATGACTAAACCTGAATTCTTGCAGGCAGATAGAAGAACGGTGAAGGTTATAGCATCAGGTATGATACCTGTTTTGCACATGCTGTCAAAAAGAGTAAATACCTCTTCACCACGGCCATAAATAGCATATCCCATCATCATGCAATTCCAACATGGTAGTGTTTTCTCCTTTATTTTCCTGAAAACCTCATGGGCTACTCTTAATTTTCCTCCCTTACTATACATGTCAATAAGGGCTGTGGCCACATATATGTCATCCACAAACCCATGTCTCACACAAAAGCTGTGTATCTCTTCACCTTTCTTCAACAGTGATGGTCCAGCACATGCACGGAGTAAGCTGCAAATAGTTGTGGAGTTAGGTTTCACATTTTCTTCTTGCATTTGGATGAAAAACTGCAGGGCATCCATGTAGTTCTCATTTTGACAGCAGCCTGATATCATAGCAGTCCAGGACACCACATTAGGAGTTAATCCCAAACTCTTGATCCTATTCATCAAGGCCAAAGCTTCCTCACTGTGGCCCCACATTGAATAACCTGAAATCAAACTATTCCATGTCACCAAATCAGGTTTTATCCCTTCTCCCTCCATCTGCTTCAATAGATTTTCGGCATTGTTAAACAAGCCCTTGTAGGTGTAACCTGATATCAATGAATTCCAAGCACAAATATTTTTGTTCTTCGAATGACGAAACACTACTTCAGCTTTATCTAAGGAAATATTCTTAATATACATATCCACTAAAGAAGTACAAACATAGGCATCATAGTCAAGGTTACTTCTCATTATGTAGCCATGGATTTCTTTCCCAAGATTAAAGCAACCCAATTCAATAACTGCTTGCAGAGCACTAGTTATTGAACATGAATCTGGCTTGAAGTTGGCATTTTGCAGGCTCCGGAAACTGGTGAGAACCATTTCATATGATCCCTGAAGAAGATGGCCAGACAAAATAGAATTCCAAGTTATAATGTCTGGTGTGATGCTGGAAGACTCCATTTTTTGGAGGATATCCCACGCACCATTCAAACAGCCATTTACTGCATAACTTGAAATTATTGAGTTCCAAGATGCCAGGTTATGATCCTCCATTGAATCAAAAACTGCTCTAGCTAGGTCAAGTCTATTGTTCCTAGAGTACATGCTAACTACAGAATTGCAAATTGAAGTATTTGACAATCTTCCAAATTTTGTAACATACCCATGAAGCTGCTTCCCTTCGTTGAGAGCTCTCAACTTTCCACATGCTTGCAGCAGTTTGACCAAGGTGCCATCTGTGGCTATGGCAGAAGCAAATTGCATTCGACGGAACAGCTCTAAGGCCTTCTCCCACCTCTCACTCCTCAAGTTTGCCATAACACTTGTATTCCACAAGAAATCTTCTTGAAGTGGTGTCTCATCAAACACTTGGTTTGCCCTATCTATTCCCAAGCACTTCTCGTAGAGATTGATCAATGCACAACTCAAATGTACATCAACATGGAAGCCTCTCTTAACCAAACAAGCATGAACTTCCATCCCAAGCCATAACTCCATCAAAGACAAACAAATTTTCAGAACAACAGTGAGAGCTTTGCTGTCAAATTCTACTCCTTTATTATGCAATTCCTTGAACACCTCCAGAATCTCATGTGAGTCACCTCCAAAACTAGAAAACTCCTCCAGAAAAGAATTCCATAAAAGGTAATTCCTTGAAAAACCCACAAAGAAAACCTTAGTCGCTGACACAAAGTCTCCAAATTCCAAGTAGCTTTTCATCATGCTTCCATCCATTGTGACTGAGCTACTTCTTTTTGGCAATTTGACCATCTGGGCATGGAATTCCCTCACAGAATTCAAAGTCTTCAACTCACCCAAGTTATCCAAAGGGTGAAAGAAGGGAGAGAATTTTGGTGAGGAAAATTGAGGAGAAGAAACTAGCTGGGGTTCTGAGATTCCAAGAGAAACTGAAGTGGGTGAATGGCTTCTGGGTTGAATGTGGGTTTGTGGATTGTGAACAAAATAAGGATTGAGATGGTGAAAAGGTTGTACTAGATTATCCATAAAACTATGTCTATGAAGGGCGATGCAAAGTGTCATTGGAGTGTGATGAATGGAAGGGACCGTAACATTCTAAGAGAGCTCTAGCGGAAGCATAAAATCCAATTATCTATTTACAAATGTTTTCATCTGTTGATGTCGGAAAGTTTTGTGACCACGTGGGATGCCAAAATGAAAATTGTTGATAAGGTTTATCCTTATAAATGATTTTTTTCGAAGCATAATTTCCCTGCACCCAGCCTTTTGGGCCCCACTAAACTGCTTACTTTGGGCCATTAAATGCTTCGGGCCTCTTGAATCTTGGGCTTCCTTTTTATAGGCTTTTCTTCCAGAAGTCCAATTTTTGCCAACTGAACTCCCATACTAGCAGAAAATGATTAAAATACTTTCTTCACTACACCACTTATGAGGAAGAAGAAATGGAACACATTTTGTGTTTTGGAAAGTTGAGTCTGAAAAACTCATTTTATAAAAGGTATTATATATATTCTGAAAATTATATTATGGAAAGCTAATGTATTCTAAACTTGTTCCAAAAGATTTCTAGATTAGGTAATTCAAAAATGACTTTTATGAGTGATAAAATGGTTATTTTAAAATTATAGAATGTAGGAAGAAAGAGCCTTCTTATATTTCCAACTTAACTATACTCGTTACATCATTGATTACGGTTAGGTTTCTGAGTAAGAGACCTAAGTTTTCTCGCAACATCCATTCACGTCAAAACAAATAAACAAGAGAAAACAAAGGAAATGTGTATAATCTCTATAATTGTATGTATTCACTATAACTCTAAAACGAAAACAATAACAACTTGGAGAGCCTAATCCCTCTCAACAAGGTCCAAGACCTGTTTACAAAACATAAGAAATGGCTAACTACTTTCTAACAATGAATAGAACTATATTTATATAAGATCTCACATCCCACCTTCCCTAACGGCTTCTCTCATTTTCTTGCATTTCTTAACTATTCTCTCATTTCCTCTTCCTTCTATCCTTTTACCTTAGATCCTATCAATTACCTTATTTGATATCACTTATTAATTAATGTAATAAAACTATAATTTATATTAGAAGCTAACTGCTCTCTTCCAAACTTGAAATTATTTTATTTAAGGGAGTTGAAAATATTTTATACCTAATCATAATTGATAGTAGAAAGCCAATTACAAAGGTAAAAAAATTATGCCACCTTTCATCTTATATATAAGAAATATACTGTTGATATATCAATATTAATCAAAATTGTTAAGCAATGTACCAACGTGACTAACATCATGGACTGGTACATAAGAAAACACTTAATAACGTTTAGAAGTAAATTAAAAGTACATAAACATCTTTAATCCTAAAGTGATTCACTAAATTTTGCATGAGTTGGGAATGGAATCTTAAATGTAAAAGTGATGTATATCACATTGTAAAAGTAGTATCTCTTAAGTTAGTTTAAGATTATATTACAAGAAGATCATCTAAATAAACTAATCTTTCACATTATCTAAGCGAGTACCAAATCTCTATTCCTAACCTAAGTCTTCATATTTAATATACAACTTCCTTTACCAAAAGAAAAAAAAAGTATAAGTTGAAGGTGGATCTGTAAGACAAAATACAACGTTGTGGGCACTGTAACGAAAAAAAAAAGTTCAACTTGTTGCAAGAAACTTTTTTGATAATTTCTCACTAATAGTCATTATAACTATTGAAAAAAATCCTTTTATCCATTGTAGCAACTAAGAAATGGATTTTTATTAAGTTAGATGTCCAAAATGTTTTGTTGAATGGATATCTGAATGAAGAGGTTTATAAGAAGATACCACAATTATTTAAAAGACATTTTTACATTTCTACAATTTCATAGTTTTATTTAATCCACAAGTTATTAATCTTTATTCAGGTTTGGCAATGGAAATAATATAGTTTACTAGCTAGTATATGTAGATGACATAATACTAGCAGAGCCAAATATATATTCTTTAAATAATTGCCAAAATCTTTTTCGGAATTTCTTCAAACTCCGCTTTGTAGGAGATTTAAAAATCTTTCTTGGTTTAGAATTGCTAACTCAAATCAAGGCATTCACTTATGTCAAAGGAAGTATAACAATCATCTCTTAGAAGACACATGATTAACAAACCTGTAAAGCCTGAGTCTATCTGATTTGTATGGTCGAGTCCAGATTTAAGCTAGAAACCTTTTTGTTTAATCACAATCAAACAAATTTGATTGAGCATTTAACAAGGACAAAGATCTAACCATTTAGAACCCCTCTGGTCACCTGTTTACTGACCTATTAACACAAGTTCAGGGCAGGTACTGTTGGAAGTCCCACATCGACTAGAGATAAGGCCAAATTATAATATATAAGTAAGGTGCAAACCTCACCCTACAAGCCGGTTTTGTGGGGTTGAGTTAGGCTTAAAAACTCACTTTCTAATATGGTATCAGAACCATGGTTAGTGCCTTGTTGGAAGTCCCACATCGACTAGAGATAAGGCCAATTTATAATATATAAGTGAGGTGCAAACCTCACCTTGCAAGCCGGTTTTGTGGGGTTGAGTTAGGCTTAAAAACTCACTTTCTAATATGGTATCAGAGCCATGGTTAGTGCCTATCCTAGCGAGTTCTAAGTGGGCATTCTATTCTTCTATTCCACCCGCAATCGGGCCGTTATTGGACCACCCAATTTCTACTATCACGCACGAGATGTCTATACCTCGGCGTGAAGGGGGTGTGTTGGAAGTCCCACATCGACTAGAGATAAGGCCAATTTATAATATATAAGTGAGGTGCAAACCTCACCTTACAAGCCGGTTTTGTGGGGTTGAGTTAGGCTTAAAAACCCACTTTCTAATATGGTATCAGAGCCATGGTTAGTGCCTATCCTAGCGAGTTCTAAGTGGGCATTCTATTCTTCTATTCCACCCGCAATCGGGCCGCTATTGGACCACCCAATTTCTACTATCACGCACGAGATGTCTATACCTCGGCGTGAAGGGGGTGTGTTGGAAGTCCCACATCGACTAGAGATAAGGCCAATTTATAATATATAAGTGAGGTGCAAACCTCACCTTACAAGCCGGTTTTGTGGGGTTGAGTTAGGCTTAAAAACCCACTTTCTAATATGGTATCAGAGCCATGGTTAGTGCCTATCCTAGCGAGTTCTAAGTGGGCATTCTATTCTTCTATTCCACCCGCAATCGGGCCGCTATTGGACCACCCAATTTCTACTATCACGCACGAGATGTCTATACCTCGGCGTGAAGGGGGTGTGTTGGAAGTCCCACATCGACTAGAGATAAGGCCAATTTATAATATATAAGTGAGGTGCAAACCTCACCTTACAAGCCGGTTTTGTGGGGTTGAGTTAGGCTTAAAAACCCACTTTCTAATATGGTATCAGAGCCATGGTTAGTGCCTATCCTAGCGAGTTCTAAGTGGGCATTCTATTCTTCTATTCCACCCGCAATCGGGCCGCTATTGGACCACCCAATTTCTACTATCACGCACGAGATGTCTATACCTCGGCGTGAAGGGGGTGTGTTGGAAGTCCCACATCGACTAGAGATAAGGCCAATTTATAATATATAAGTGAGGTGCAAACCTCACCTTACAAGCCGGTTTTGTGGGGTTGAGTTAGGCTTAAAAACCCACTTTCTAATATGGTATCAGAGCCATGGTTAGTGCCTATCCTAGCGAGTTCTAAGTGGGCATTCTATTCTTCTATTCCACCCGCAATCGGGCCGCTATTGGACCACCCAATTTCTACTATCACGCACGAGATGTCTATACCTCGGCGTGAAGGGGGTGTGTTGGAAGTCCCACATCGACTAGAGATAAGGCCAATTTATAATATATAAGTGAGGTGCAAACCTCACCTTACAAGCCGGTTTTGTGGGGTTGAGTTAGGCTTAAAAACCCACTTTCTAATATGGTATCAGAGCCATGGTTAGTGCCTATCCTAGCGAGTTCTAAGTGGGCATTCTATTCTTCTATTCCACCCGCAATCGGGCCGCTATTGGACCACCCAATTTCTACTATCACGCACGAGATGTCTATACCTCGGCGTGAAGGGGGTGTGTTGGAAGTCCCACATCGACTAGAGATAAGGCCAATTTATAATATATAAGTGAGGTGCAAACCTCACCTTACAAGCCGGTTTTGTGGGGTTGAGTTAGGCTTAAAAACCCACTTTCTAATATGGTATCAGAGCCATGGTTAGTGCCTATCCTAGCGAGTTCTAAGTGGGCATTCTATTCTTCTATTCCACCCGCAATCGGGCCGCTATTGGACCACCCAATTTCTACTATCACGCACGAGATGTCTATACCTCGGCGTGAAGGGGGTGTGTTGGAAGTCCCACATCGACTAGAGATAAGGCCAATTTATAATATATAAGTGAGGTGCAAACCTCACCTTACAAGCCGGTTTTGTGGGGTTGAGTTAGGCTTAAAACCCACTTTCTAATAGGTACCAGTAAGAGAACTTGCACACATGGCCCCAGAATGCAAGATATTCAAGCACGATTTTTTTTTCTTTCCAAGTGAGGCATGGATATGGATTAAGTATTTCTTCGATTTACACAAGTACACAGATACAAAAATAACAATGATAAATTATTGTTTTTCATTTCATAACATCAGTTATTTTATTTGGGTTCAGGCGACAACTGAGAAAAAACACAGCCGAATGGATAATTAGATAGATACAGACATGTCTTTCTTGATGATTTGCATGTGGATTCTTCAGTCTTAAACCTGAAGTCAACCCATTTTCATTTCTAATAACATACACAATCATTATCTTATCTCCTGGATAAATCAGCAGCACAACGCCTAATAACACCACAATCCACCAGAAAGCTGGCTTAACATTATTATTTCAACAAGAATTTTCTGAAAATTTAGATTAAATCTAGAATTACCAAAAATAGGCACTTATAATTTTGTAATCACTTTTTTTCTGTTTATGCATTCTGCCTAGCAAATGACATGCATAAATGGCAAATATAGACATATGTCAAGAAATAAAGTTGTGATGGAAAAACAATTCATATAAATTATGTAAACTTGAAATAAAACATGAGAAAAAAGGCCGTAACTCAAACTGCTAATACAGAAGAAAACATTACTAACAGTAACAGAAACATTTTGAATGATTCATGTTA